TCCTGCTGTACAATATATTATATATGACACAGCCCTTAATATCTGTTCAGCTTTATATATACACAGGTGTCATGTACAGACATGCAATCACCTGATATACTCAAATAGGTATTTCATTGATGGTAATTCACACAGTAGCACCTGCACGGCTGTGCCTATGGCTGCATTGCTACACTTGTGTGCGTACATGAAAAGCTGCAGGAGATTAATCAAGGTGAGACTGAAACAGTGGTTTGCAGCCATTTGTGCTGCTGGGAACCTCACTTGTGATAAGAATTTTAAGAGACTAGTGAATAGGCCTGTGGCATCCAAGGAGTTTTTAAGTCAATCAACCCTTAGCCTTCCATTCTTTTCCAGAGTACAGCCTTATTGCTACTAGAGAAAACACTTCTTAGATCAATGAGTACTCTATTGCAAGTAAATGCTGAAAAGAGAAGAAGCTATGAGCTTCAGAGAAAGACAAATATAAGAAAGCATGTACTTAAACAGGACACTTATTTCAGTGTTTAGTGCATGTACAGAACAAGCTTTGGTAACACTGTCATTATTCAGAAATCTAATTGTTGAGAAAGCTTGAGAGCAACTGCATTTAGCATGTGACTATTCAGATAATTCTAATCACCCACGAACATATAGGAACTGAAGTGCCGTCCCTAGAAAAACACAGTGAGTTTTTAAGATCGATGTAATGGCTTTTCCTGCCTTGCTTCATGATGAACCCATAATAGCAGAATGGAATTACTGGCACATGCTGTAGGGAAAACGACAGTAATAAGAAAGTATAATTTTGATGGACTTAAAAATAAAATAAAAATTTTAAAAAATCAGGTGAAACAATAAGCTACAAGACATCAGTAGCAAATCCTTCAACTACACAATCCATAAAATTTACAGTAAGATAAATTATGACCTAATTGCAACCAGCCGCTTAGCATGTCATTTCTTCTGTGCCCCAGACTGAGTCATAAGGAACACCAGTCCAAATAGTCTAGATGGAACTTTGGAGAGGTCCAGATTGCTATGAATGGGTTTCTAAGAAAAACAAAAAACAAAAAACACTGTGCAATTATTTTTCTGGCACTGAAAACTTTT